GCCATGTACTTGGAAAAAGGAAGATGTCCTACACATCATATCGAGATTCCTTCAAGGATGCTCTAAAGTTTCTTGGTTATGATCCAAAGATCTACGGTCTGCATAGTTTTCGTTCTGGGGGTGCGACAACAATAGCCAGAAATCTCAAAAACTGCCCGTCATTAGAAAGACTGCTCAAACTCCAGGGTCGTTGGCGTTCTGAAATGTACATTAAAGAACATTTAGATCAGAGGATTAAATGAACTATAAGTTCATTTATTGTATTTTGTTTGTTAATAAACTTGGGACTTGTTCAGCAATGACAAGCTACGCACATTGTAAATGTTTGTCAGTTTATTGTGTTATCATTGCGAGTGAGAAGGAAAATATTTTTCATGCGTATGAATGCAATGAAGGAGTATGAAATCCCAATTCAACGGTACTATTAGCAATGCAAAATACTTAAATGTCACAAACAATTCGTTGCTTGCCAGCGTAATCCCTCGTGGTCAAGTTAGTTAAGGCGCTTTACATTTGTAGCTCTAGTCGAAGGGTTAGGTTTAGGGAAAAGGAAAAAAATAAAATGTTAAATTCATAATTCTAAGTTAAAATTTGATAAGAAAATTTTTAAGAAGTTAAGGCGTAGCTAAAAAGTTCGAACAAGTCGATAAAAAACTGTAGAAAAATATACAAGTGAAAAAAAGTATGGACCCCTGTTCGCTTGTTAGGTGCTTCTATTCGCTTGTTAGGTGCTTCTATTATATTCGCTTTTTAGTTTGCCCTATACGGTTGTGCCATATATGGAATACGTATACTACTAATCCGCCTCCCCTGTTGAGGCTAACTCTACGCTATTTTTGACTTTTTTTTTTGAATTTTGCTCGCGTCCACCGACGATTTGAGCAGTGGATGTGTCGATTGCCGGGAGATTGCCGAGTCCTTTCTCCTTTACTATATGTTCCAGCCCAGGCTAAACAGTAAGGTTATAGAAGCTATTTTAGTTCTGTACAATGTTGGCCGGTCCACGGCTTAGTTTGCTGTTCGCATTCCTATGCAAATTTATCCGCTTCGCGTCGCCCCCATCTTTTGCTTTACGTGTCATGTTTATTTAATTTGGCCTGATGCGTTTTGCATAAGGTTGGTCTCGATCCTGGAAAAACTAAATATTTTGGTTAGACCATTTCTAAAGACCTCGTTGTTTTCCCGTAGGAAGGTGGTAAACTTTATTGATTTTTGGAATTTAAAACGGACAATAGGGTTTTTGTTGATAATTTTCTAAATTCAAAGGCCATTCTAAATTCAAAGGCCATGCAGATGGGAAAGTGTGTTAGCGTGAAACAGTATAATTCTCCCCTCGGTTGTGCCGGGTCATGCTACCATTCTCTCCCCAACTGACAGTGGCCATGGCATCCATAACAGAAGGGAATATTCGATAATGGTATTACCTTATGAGTCAAAATTGTACTTTATTTTAAACTTTGATATCATAGCAAATCAAGGAAAGTTTTCGGTTCAGACCATCTTTATTTTTCTTTACCATTCGCTTACCAGAATAGAAGAAATATCGAACAGG